CCCAATCCAAGAGGACGAGGGACGAGAAAAATCCGGGATTTTTTATCTGTCCAGAATGACGTAATAAAACTGTTAAGCGCTTTAGTTGTTACCATGTGGCCTCCTGGGGACTGAGTATGTTGACTGGGAAGATTACACCCAACTGATGATTTCTTACCTCAATGATGTCTTGTTACAACAAAAATAAAAAGAGAAACGTGCATATCTGAATATGGAGTCAGGATGGAGCTATGCTGAAAAGTGAGAAATAAGTTTTGATAAAACCCTTTCGCTCTGAACAAGGCATAGACGTCTAGTTTGAAACCGGTCCAACTTAGCCCCCCTTTCAGTACTGTATGGTCATTTATGAGTATGAGGTCGAGAGAAAACATTTACAAATTGATTACATTTTTAAATATATCGAAATGTTTGTTCTCCAGTTTGCACAGAGCAAACGAAAATAAAGATTCTGAGCTGGCAGCTGGCGGGCGCTCTGGTGTGGTTTGCTCCTTCTAATCCCATCAAACATCTATCGTCCTCATCTCACCTCCTTCTTTTCTTCATATATTGCTCTCTGGTAACACCTCTATCTCCAGTATCTATATGACCTAATTGAGTTGCAAGTGCCGCAAAATTCTTACTAAACCAAAAGATTCTGAATCAAATCTTTTATCAACAATTTTGTTTTGTGTCAACATCTTCCATCAAAGAAGCAAGCATAAAGAAAACTTGAATAAAAGAATCTCTGCATTATAAACCTCTTTGTCAAATCTTAAAACAAATTTCCAATAGTAAGTCTACACATGACTTTCTGTAACGTAGAAAAACATTTAGTTGCGTGAGCCTTGAAAAGCACTTTAATTTGGGCAGCTACTACCAACAGACGGTGTGTTGACTTGGCCTCCTAGAAGAATGGCAATATGTGTCACTTGTGACGCGATTGACTCACGGTCGGATGTGATCCGATTTGACTGGAGCTAAAGGTGAAGGTCAAAAAGTATGAGCTGTTTGGATGATACTCTTCACTTTCTTTTCCGTCTAGAAGTCGATTTCCCCCTTATTAACAGTCCGGTTGCCTGTTGGTTGTGCGTTTGTTTGTTTCGTTTTAGTTTGTTTTGTTTTTGTTTTTTATGTTGCTGGGGGTTTTTTTACTTTTGGTTTTGATTTTGGTTTTGTTTTGTTTG